AACCAAACATCTATTTTTTCAAACCAACCTCAACTAAAAGTATTTTTTATAAAGCAACTTTTTTCAAACGACAATCACAATAACTACCGCAATACCAAATACACTCTAAATCACTGTAAAGTTACTTTGTTATTAGTAATTCAACACGGAATAGTTAAATAGCAAATAGTTAGAAAATACAAACCTCACGTATATTTAACATAAAACGCCTAAAAACTAATTTAAAGATTTTTTTCATGATTTTCTTATAAAGCATTGGTAAAAATTAAAACAATTTTCTTCCTATCATGCAATTCTAAGAAAGTTTCACGTCTTTTTTTTTTTAAAAAAAAAAGAAAAATAAAAAATGCTTTGTTGTTTTGCCATGCATAAATAAGCAATTGTTTAAGATTAGAAAAACAAAGTGTCTTGACCTTTTCTTTTATTAAAAACAAAGTTACTTTGATTGTATAATTGAAACATATATGATCAAAGAAAAAAATAAAAAATGTGATAAATTTTAAAAAATTTATTTTAATTCCTTATATATAGTAATATTTGTAATTAAAAAATCTTGAAGCAATTCAAAAAAAAAACTTAAAAAAACCATTTGATCTAATATACTAATATTTTAATTTCCATATTGTATAATTAAAATGTTTTCCTCTATTAATATATCAATAGCCTTATAGTTATTAGAAATAATTATATTTTAATGATTATTATATCAAGATAAAATGTTATGACCTTATGGATATTAGTTTGTGGGTGTAAACAAAACATAGTTGTTATGTTTTAATTATGTTATGTGATTATTTATTTCATAAAAATTATCAAATCCATATATATATATATAAAGTGGTTTGAGACATATCTCATTAACTAAATAATATAAATGTATTGGTTTTGACATATCACTCATTTTAAATTTTATTTTGATTGATTGATAGTTAAATTTAAATATATTGGTTTTGATATATCATCAATTTTAAGTTACATTGAGTTTGATGAATTATAGAATCCAAGTGTTTTGAATCTAATATAATACTAACTTTATATTCTTTTGAATTTAATATATTGTTAAAGCTAAATATATTAAGTTTTATATTTTATATCATCTATATTTTTTTAAAATCTAATATGTTATAGATTTAACTCCTTTTGAATTTATTAGGCTCACTTTGTTATACTTTTTAAGGTTCTTGAAAAAATAGATAAAAATAACTTATCTTATCACAAATAAAAATCAAAAGTAATTTTAATGATTTAAGGATTTATGTCAAATTTAAATTTTCATATTCTAACCATTTGAGTTTCATTATAAACTACCATAAACGGTATTAAAATCTAAATAAAATGTGCTCAGGTGAATTCATTATGATATAAGCGTCATGTAAGTTGCTTTTAAATGTAACCCAACGATGGGCTTGCAGCGAACCAGTGTCCTCCTGCCTCCTCCCTCCTTTCATTTAAATGGGCTTGCAGCGAACCAGTGTCCTCCTCCCTCCTCCCTCCTCTCATTTAATTCTTTTTTCTTCTTCTTTTTTTTTTTATTATTTATGATAGTTGATGATTAAGTAATGAAAGACATGAGAAATAAATGGTATGTTCTTCTTCGTAAGATATATGTTTCATTTATTGTTGAATGGTGGAGATTCCTTTAAAGTGATAGAAGGGTTGACAAGCATTTGATTAATTTTATATCATTAGAAGAGCATTTTATTATGAACAAAAGGATTTACCTTATTTAAAATGTCTCATCACTTCCTTTATTCATGTTATCTTTGGCTTGAAATGTTATTACATATTCTTTTTTAACAAATAACTCAATTGAGGTTTACCAAGCTTTTCACTTGGTATAAAAAATAATCTAAGTGCATGTTTGGTAGTATAGTGCTTGCTTTAAAAAAAAAATTATTTTTTTATTTTTGATATTAACATATTAAAATTATCTAAAAAATATCAATTTAATATTTTTGAAATAAAAATAATTTGTGTTTGGTATTGTGGTGCTTATTTTTCAAAAAAAAAAAATCAATTTGAAATACATCAAAATATTTTTTATTTTTAATATCAAAATATTAAAATCTTTTAAAAACACTTAAAAACATTAAGAAAATATTTTTTAAAATAAAAAATAATTTCTAAAACCAATTCAATCACAGAAATAAGACACTAAACTTGAACGCAACAAAACTTGGAGATCAACAAGTGACGTGGTGGGCAGAGCAATGATCTATATAACATAATACTATATTAATTCCGACAACAGAAGCAAGAACTAGTTAATTTCACAGGTATCGTGTATGATATTTGTAGTGTAATAACATGTACAAGTCAGTAGGTGGTGGTGGGTGCTCGGTCACCAATAATTTTGAATCCAGCTGTTCATTAATATTGATGGGGCCACAGGGCATATTAATATTAATATTGATGAACACGGACAGCGAGACGTGCTCTATTATTGAGCAAGCTGGTTAATCATTAGGTGATAAAGTTGAAAATAAAAGCACAATTTAATGTTTTCATACGTTAGCATCACCATTTCGAACGAATCCTGATAAATTTATTAAACTATTTCGATGCATGAAACATGAGGCTTGCAACTAGGGGCAAAGAAAAAATAATAATTAAACTGATAAATTTTTTTTAAAATTAATTAAAATAATCAAGTCATAAAAAAAACTGATTAAATTAATTATAATATTTTTAAAAATATTTGATTTAATTTAATTTTAATTTTATAAATCTAAAATACAAAACAGAATTAAATTGAAACTAAACTTATTAAAAAGTTTAGAAAACCTTTTAAAATATAATATGATTTTTATTTTTTAATATAAAATATCCGAATAAAATCAAGTAAAATCAAAACTGGTCACTTGGGTTTTGATTTTTAATATAAAATAATTAAATTTAATCGAAATTAGTTAATTTAAATTAATTTTGGTTTGGTTTTAATTTTTTTATATTTTATAAAATTTTAATTTAATTATGTTTATAAATAAAAATAAAACTAAAACAAAATATAATGACCCCATACTTGTTATTCTTCATGACCAAGCATCCTAAGCAAGAAAAACTACCTTTTTCATATATATATATATATATATATAAGGTATTGATAATTATTTGGTGAGATCGTTTCGTTATTTTTTTATTTTTAATATTAACATGTAAAAATTATCCAAAAAATATCAATTTAATATTTTTTCAAATAAAAAATAATTTGTATTTGGTATTGTGGTGCTTATTTTTCAAAAAAAAAAAATCAATTTAAAATATATCAAAATATTTTTTATTTTTAATATCAAGATATTAAAATTTTTAAAAAATACTTAAAAATATTAAGATAATATTTTTTTTAAATAAAAATAATTTCTAAAACTTGAACGCAACAAAACTTGGAGATCAACAAGTGACGTGGTGGGCAGAGCAATGATCTATAACGTAATACTATATTAATTCCGACAACAGAAGCAAGAACTAATTAATTTCACAGGTATCGTGTATGATATTTGTAGTGTAATAACATGTACAAGTCAGTAGGTGGTGGTGGGTGCTCGGTCACCAATATTTTTCTCTATATAAAGATATGCTCTATGATCTCCAGTTTGAATCCATCTGTTTATTAATATTAATATTGATGAACACGGACAACGAGACATGCTCCATTATTGAGCAAGCTGGTTAATCATGAGGTGATAAATTGAAAATAAAAGCGCAATTTAATGTTTTCATACGTTAGCATCACTATTTCGAACGAATCCTGATAAATTTATTAAACTATTTCGATGCATGAAACATGAGGCTTGTAAGTAAGGGCAAAGAAAAAATAATAATTAAACTGTTAATTTTTTTTTAAAAATTAATTAGAAAAATCAAATCATAAAAAATTGATTAAAAACTAATTATAATATTTTTAAAAATATTATGTTTCATTTGATTTTAAT